GCCGCCTCCGTTAACCACAGTAAGGCGGTGACCACATTCTCCCAGCCACAATGCCATGGCAACCACTTCCACAACCGGGTCCTCACACAGGTCTCCTGCAGCTAAAGCCTGGTCCACCCGACGCCCCGGCAACCAGACTGCCTAACAACACTGCGACGCCAGCACATCAGCCAGCCACTGCCCCATCCCCATGCGGGGCACCTGCAGCACTGCCCACAGTGCCCACACCCACAGCCTCCACCCCGGTGCAGTAACAAGCCACGGTGCATGATTCCAGGTTGCCAAGACAACCCTGCCCCCCCATGTTACCATGCCCACCACAATCCATTACCTACTGTGCTAAGACAGCCACAGTCTTCCCACAGCCCTGCCACGGGCAATCCCGTTGTTAGCTACACTGCCAGGAGGACATAGCCTGTTGTCCACGTGCCCAGGAGGTGGCAATCCACCATCATTTATCAGCCCACTACCCACAATGCCTTGGCAACCTCCTCTCACTACTCTCGAGGCCTCCATAGGCACATGCCAGGACAGCCACTCCCATTATTTCCGAAGCCTCACTGGCCCACCCAGTTTCCCGGTTGGGCGTGGTGGGTCACTCCACTGGCTCTGCGTATGCACCGGCCACTGTGATGCTCTGGGTCCCCACAGCCCTCACTCCCTGCCTCCCATCCTTCAGCTCTGGACTCCCGGATGGCCCCTCCACCCTAGCGCCCAGAAAGCTCTGATGTGGGTGTCACCTGATCGCCCACAGTCTGCACAGGAGATGAGGTCCTCGGGACACCCTGTCTTCTTGGAGCCGCCCAGGCAGAAGTCACAGTAGCCGTTGGGGATGACAGTGCCGTCAGGCGCCTTCTTGGCTGGAAGACAGCAGACAGGGGCTGGCATGGGGCAGGCAGGGCACCCAGGCAAAGGCTGCTGCACAGGTAGGAGTGGAGGGAGGCGTCCCTACCTGTGTGTTTCCTTTGTGCCTCGGGGACCCAGGCCAATTCTTTGTAAAACTCTGGGGGTGGGAGGGACAGAAAGGGGCTCTCACCAAAGGCAAGGCTCCACCCTGCCCCCAGCCTCAGCTCCAGGGTGGGGAGAGAGAGCCGCTACCCTCCCCAAGCTGTGGCCAGTAGCAAAAGAAAGTTGTTGGGGAGAGGGGCAAATCATTCTTCTCAGGGCCCCCAGTTCTGAGACATGTCCTCTTCACTAGGTGAAAACTTGGTGGATGCAGCTTTAGGAAGAGCCCCTCCCTCCCTTCCCGTATGCACGTCTACCAGATAGCCACTCCGACAGACAAAACCCAGGAGATGCCACTGGCCCAGACCTGGTATGGAAACAGACCCCCAAAGAGTACGGAACACAGAGGTGCCTAGGTGTGCAGTGGGCCTGGGACAGGACACCCACCTTCTCCCTCCGAGAGATGGGTGGGAAGACCGTCTCCCCCCTGGCTGAGCCTCCCACCCCTCCCCCACCCTTCAGCTATCAGGGTGGCATGAGATTGGCATGGGTGGACACCAAGGGCTCCCAGGCCAAAGACCTTGTCCTTTGGCCAAGGATTAGCAGAGAAGGGAGAAAAGGAGGCAGGAAGGGAGGGGAGCCATCTATCACCCCCCTTCCCAAGCTCTAATTGAAACAATAAATCAGACCCAGAAATATTACGCCCGGCCGGGAGCGAGGGAGAGATGGTTGGTTGCCATGGCAACCCCAGAGCCAGCATCCCCATGGTCGGTGGGGGGAGGGAACCGCGGAGCTGGAGATTTTCCAGAAATGTCTACTGTGCCCCCCAACAGGAGGCTCCTCAGCCCCCACTGCCAGCACCCCTCGCCGCCCCCCCCACCTGGCCAGCCTGCTCACGTTTATGGTTGTTTTTCCGGTGGAAGGGCAGGGCGTGGCGTTCGGCGTTCTCCTCCCCCTCCTCCTCGGCCAGGTGGGTGGGGGTGTAGTGGTAGCTGAGCCCGGGCCGGTTCTTATACCGTTTCCCACCGACTGGCGAGCGAGCAGGGAGGGCTGGTCAGCCCCTCCCGGCCCACGCTGCCTCCGCCCTGGCCTCCAGGATCACACCTCCCCCCTTCTGCCAGAGACAAGAGCATCCCCCCCACTGGGGTCCATAACAGGGGTGGGGGGCCACACGGGGAGTGGTCTCTGGGCCCACTCTCCCTCTCTCTCTTTCCCCCTCTTCAGAAGGACTCACTATCACAGACATACGGCTTGTCTCGGTCCTCCAGGGAAGCGGTGTCCTGGCGTTTCCGGAGACCCCCGATGCCATATGCCTGGGGAGAGAATAAGGAGTCAGGGGCCACGAAATCAAGGAAATGAAGACTTTTCATCGTTTGGGCTAGAAAGCTAAGTTGTAGCCCTGCGAACTTCCTAGCTGTGAGCCTTGGCCCTCGCTGAGGTTCAGCTTCTTCATCTAAAGAACAAGTATAACGAGAACCCGAATCTGGGGCCGGCAGGTGGTGTGGTGGTTGAGGGTGCTGGACTCCCACATGACCGACCGCAATTCGAGTCCTGGACCTGGCGGCTTGCTTTCTCACTTTCCCTGTTCCTCTCTCCTTTCCTCTCTGGTCAAATTTAAAAAATAAATAAATAAAATTAAGTAAAAAATAATTAAAAAGAGAGAGAACCCTAACCCTATGTACACTCGATTTCACAAATGGCCTAACGTCGAGGTACATCAGTTCCTAAAATGGGTATAAAATCAACTACCCCTTCAGGTTGCTCTAGGGTTTTTTGTTTGTTTATTTTAAATTATTTTATTTATTTATTTATTTTTTATTATTCAATTTGACCAGAGAGAGAGAGACAGAGAGAGAATGAGAAGGCAAGCCATCAGGTCTGGGACTTGAACCACGGTCGGCCATGTGGGAGTCTAGCACCTCAATCACCACGCCACCTGCTGGCCCCAGCTCTAGGGGTTTAAAATGAGGTCAGTCCTGTGGCAGGGTCTGACCACAGTGCAAGCTCAACGTGGGATCTGGCACTGGGGTGGGGAGGAGAAGCTCTAGGGTGATACCTTTCCTTTGGCCCTGTTCTTCCTCCTGGGAATGTCATCCTCCAAGTCCTCCACCTCAAGATCGTGTGGAAACTCCAGCAACTGCTGTTTCTGGCAACGAGAAAGGAGACAGGGATCAAGAAAGGCGGGGACAGGGGCACTGATCTGCCTTCAGCGGGCTCTGGGTAGGGCTAGAGATGGGGGTAGGAGGGCAAGTCAAGAGGTCTTCTGAAAAGTTGAGGTCAGAGAGAGTGGAGACTTGGGATAACTGAAGTCCCCTGGGAGCTGGGGTGGGGACAGTTCAGAGTAGGCCACAGGGGTAAGAGGAGGACTTACAACTGAGGTCCCTTGGGGCTGGTCCTACCTGACAGTCCATAATGGTCTCCTCCTCCTTCAGCTCAATCTTCTTCTCCCCTGTCTCAGCACACAGTAGAGCCTCGAGGACTGGCCCTTCCGGGAGGCCACCCTCCTTCTTCAGGGGTGCCTCACAGTCTGAGGACAAGGCCATGGGAAGTCAAATGAGAAGCTGTCCCTAGAGGATCCTTCAAACTGCACAGGTAGGGGGACCGTGCTCTTCGCAGGAGGGAAGAGGCCTCTCCACACTCAACCAGCAACAGACGCAAAGATTCAACCACACACACTGGGAAGAAGTCCAGAACCTGGGGAGGACACATCCACATCCTTAGATCCACTGAGAAACATGCGAGAGACACAGCCTGGACCTTGGATACACCCAGAAACTCTCAGGAAAAGAGAATTAGACCATCAGACACAGCCAAACCTACTCAGAGAGACACAGCCAGACCCTTGGATATTGTCAGGCAAATATGGATAGATACAGACATTCAAACAGGATAACATGGACAGGCACAGGAGAGGAACAGGCAGATCCCTTGAGAAAGTCGGACACACAACCAGACTCTCAGATACACCGAGACACTCAGAAGAGATACAGCCAGACCCTTGGATGCACCTGGACACATAGAGGCAAGCCCTTGGACATAACCACAGACACTGAGAAGGGGACCAGCAGACAGACCTAGACCCACATGGGAAAGGTACAACCAGACCCTGCGATGCACCTGCACACAAATCAGGGACACACAGACAAAGCCAGGGAGAACTGCTCAGGTGGGATGCAGACAATTCTCGCTGAGGCAGTCACACACACAGGAAGAGACACAGCCATTGGGCACACCGTGGTCTTGGGTACATCCAGACCCTTGATACCGCTGAGCAAGGCAGCAGAAACAGCCAGTGATTCTCATAGGCCTGTATACATGCAAGACGCAGTAAGTCCAGATACGCTGATAGACTGGCACACACGTGCAGAAATACACCTAACACACCAGACACTCATGGAAGAGATCCTCCCAGACACCTGAGCATCTGGACACACAGGGAGAGACAGCCAGAAGCCCTGATGAACCAGCCATGTTTGGAAAGAGTTGAATAGTCAGAGACCAGACCCGCACAAGAAACGAACCTTCCAGTACACTTCGAAACACCTGGGAAGAGCCGGGGGCACCCTGGTATACTCAGCTGCAGATAGAAAGACTGACACATCTAGACCCAGGGACAAACAGTCGGACATCCTCAGGTGCCCACAGAAGGAATACATCCCAGCTAGCAGGGAAGACGACTCAGAGCCTCAATGCACCTAGACACATCTAACAGGTATCACTATGGCTTCCATCACACCTGAGCACCTAGGCCCACCTGGGAAATGGGGTTGGAAGCTCCGTGACTCAAAGAGAGCTTTGGAATCTCTGGAATATACCCAAGAATCGGGCAAACGCTGGAGGAAGGGCGGTAAGGCTATGCTCAGGCACTCTTATCCGTGTGGCCTGGGGCACTGAGGGGCCACAGCAGGCGCGGGGCCAGGACGCCACCCACCGATCTTGTACTCGCAGGGTCGGAGTCTGGGGTCTTCCAGGATGTTGAGTCTCCGTTTCTTCCTCCAACAGCGGGCTGGGTACGTGTAGATCTGTCCCGGGGCCAAACCTGGTGGGAAAGGGGCGGTAAGAACGCGGTGGTGAAGCCGCAGCCCCGCCCCACCCCCGGCCTGCCGGCGGGGGCCCGGACCCCCCCCCGGCCTGCCGGCGGGTACCCGGCCCGCGGTGGGTCTTTTCCATCCAGATGTAGCAGTTGTTCTGGGCCACGCCGGTCTGCGAGTCGAGGAAGGGCAGGCGCAGGCTGCGCTCGGCGCACAGGCGCGCGTTGTAGCTGCGGCAGTGCTCGATGGCCTCGCGGTAGAAGTCCTCGCCTAGGCTACGAGGGCGCGAGCGGGCGGGCAGGTGGCTGTCAGCAAGGGCGGACGAACCTGCGCCCGCACCGCCCCGCAGCCGCCCACAGCCCAGGGTCCGGGAAGGGTGGGCTGGCCCCACCAACGCCCCCTCCCCCCTCCTGGGCCCAGAGTAGGGGGAGGGGACAGAGCCTAGGACCCCCCAACCTGGGACCCAAACAGGCCTCAAGCAAAGGAGTAGGTACACTAATGTAGAAGCAGACAAAACCACACGGAAATCCATCCCTACTCGCACATTTCCAAACACACAACACAAATCACACATAGTCATACAGGATTCACACACAAAGAGAGACCTATCCCAACACTCACAAAGGGGAAACAGACAAAACACAACGCACACACAAATGCCTACTGAAAAACACAAATATCCCAAGTTACATAGTGTAGAAACAGATCACACAAATATCCAAACACAAATACACATCACATATCCAAAGACACACAACATAAACAAATCACCCATACAAAGACACAACATGGAAACACATCACACCATACACACACACTCTGCATCCAGAGATGCACACGGATACACAAATGTCAAAAGGAGGAACTATAGAAACAAACTACCCACCTGTGCACTTACACGTGTACCCAAAGACACAACACAAACAAATCACACACACTAGCCAGACACTCAGTGCAAAGAGATCAGACTCACACAGTCCATACATTCCCAAAGATACAGAACACAGAAACCAGTGTCTGAAATGTCACCTACCCAAACACAGACACCTACATTTAAAACACAGAAATAGTGACATCCACTCATATTCACACAAATATTTGTAAATACACACATACCTATGTATCTAAAGACAACACAAGACAAATGATGGCTAGTTCCAGAAAGCATGTACAAGTGCTCAAAGACCCACATAGCCAAGATATCTAGTGTGGAATAAAAGGAGTCATACTCACAGCCACACACACTTAAAAAAGAACACAAGTGACACACACACCCCACATCCCAAGACAAAGGTGGTGTAGACTTCACTCAAGTTTACCAAGACCTCAGCATCCCTGGACCATTTCACCCTCTCTCAGCCCCGGAGACCGGGGAGCTGGGACGATGACGCCCCTTCCCTGAAAAGGACCCGGAGTGTCCCCACGGCCTCCACCCCTCCAGGAGCAGCGCATCGGACACCATTCTTACCAGAGACCCGTAGTCATACACACTACACTCCCGCGCGGCTCCGCACACGGTGACAGCCACCCCCCCAGGCACCCCCTCGGCCCCACCCCCAGCTGCCACACACACACACACACACCCACACGCACACACACACACACACACACACACACACAACGTGATTTTTAAGCTGCGCCGGGTCGGTCCTCCCAGCGGTCGGGCGGGCGCTGAGGCCGCCCATCCATTCATTCCCGGGGGGCGGGAGCACACGGGCCCCAGCCAATCATGGCGGCAGGGAGGGACCGCCCGGGCCATGCTGGGAGTGGTAGTCCCGGGCCTGGGGGCGGGGGCGTGGGGTACCGAACCCAGCCAGGGAAGCCGGCGTGCAGAGGCGGGCCCGGGGAGCACGCAGTCACTCACACACGCGCACTCATCCATACAGACTGTGTTACGTGCATCCAGCCATATATACACACCTGGACTTGCACACACTCACATTCACACACATACCCACAGCCACCGCACACTCCCACTCGCACATCTTCACCCGAACTCACATAGCTACCCGTGCACACGCTTCAATACCCAGAGACTTAGAGACACCTTACAGGTGCCTGCAGTCTTCCCCCAGCATGCCCACGCACTGACGCCCCCCACCCCAGTTCCTCCTAGTTCTAGAAAACCCTATGCTGTCCTGCTCCGGCCGTCTCTCTGCCCAGCCAGCCATGGCCAGCCCACCCTGCTCAACCTTCTGCAAGCCTGATCCCAGCAGTGCTGTGTCCACACCTACTGGGTTCACTTGCGAGCCATGTGACCTGGGGCTGATGCCTTAACTTTTCTGTGCCTCGGTTTCCTCATCTGTAAAATGAGGATGGTATGTCATTAGGTGGTTGCGAGAATTCAATGAGAGATAATAGTAAAGTGCTTTTTGGCTTTTGGGGATTTTTTTTTTTTTTGGTCTTTTTGGCCATGCACTCCCCATAAAGACAGAGAGAGGGAACGAAAGCATCCCCCAGTGGAGCGTGGTCATGCCACCCCTTTTCCCTCCATTTCCGCATCCAGTTGGGATTTGGAACAAACCCACACTCACGCTGCATGTTTTTCAAGCTGCCAGGTCCGGGACTCAGACTGTGATTGGCCACGTGGGATCTTGCTCCCTTAGGGGTCCTGGGTGTTTAAAAGGTACCTGACAGGTGCCAGTCAGTTTGATTGGTGTTAGTGCTCAATCAATTACTTTATTCCACAAAGAGGTTCTGATATTGGCTAAGATGTGAAACAGCGATAGCTAACAATTACCGGAAAGAATAATGCCTGCATGTAGTAGACGCTCAATAAGTATTTGCTCAATTAATAAATACACTGAGGGACCAGCAGTTGGCATAATGGCTATGTCGCTGGACTCCCATGTAGTCGACCGCGGTTCGAGTCCTGGACCCGGTGGCTTAAACTCACGCCAGGCGCGTGTGCGTGCGTGCCCAAGATCCCAAGAGGAGAATGGAGGAGAAGGGATTGCGGCGTGGCCATCCCCCCTGGGGGGTGATTTCTCGCTTTCTGTCTCTCTGTCTTTCTCTGTCTGGCGAGCGCACACGCCCTATAGCAAAAACCTCTCCGATAAATAAATAAATAAATGACTACACTGAGCACCCACTACCAGCGCGGCACATTCCTCATTTTCCAGATGAGGAACTTGAAGCACAGGGAAGTGACCGAACACTGCCTTTGGCGACAGTTTGGAGGTGGGGCTGAGGGAAGGGGTCACACACCCAGAGGTCCATGTCCAGGAGCACATTACCTTCCTCTCTCTCCCACTGTCCCCCACACTGACTCTCCTCAGAGGGATCCCCATAGTTCATGGCTCCTTGAGTCACACACGTGCCCCCTGTCTCTATACACACACAGTCATTGTCACCCATGCTGACTCTCCCCAAGGGATCCCCAGAATTAGCTGACCCAGCAAGTCACACACACTCTCCCCCATCTCCACACACACACACACACACACACACACACACACACACGCAGAGTCAGCTCTGGTTTGAGTAACTGAGTAAATTAACACAGCCACATCGCCCTTGTCCACCAGGGGGCCCTCCAGCTAGCCTTCACCTCTTTTGTCACTTGGATCCCCCTTCCCCTCCCCTGTGAGACAGACCCTCAAGGCCCCCCACACTCTTGGTCATTGACACACATGCATCCACACACACCTTAAGCCTTAGACTCCCAGGCACAAACTCTCATCTAAGCTAGGTAAGGCCTTGACCGCCCCTCCCCCAACGGAAGGGGTTGAGTCTCATTCACATCTGGCCCAGAGTGGTGACAAGGAGTGAGGAGCCCCCACACTCACTCCAGGCCCCTAGTGGCCATTCCACACCTCATCTAAGGTTAGGCCCTGCCCCCAGACCCAGGGCGCAGCTTGGAGTGTCTTTGCCATCTTCCTCTCTCCCCTCACCCCACTCCGGCAGTTTCCCAACACACCCTCTTACACTTGCTCCCCACACCTCTAGCCTCAGACATTCCAGCTCACTCCAGAAACCTGGCATCAATCTGACCAAGCAGAGCCTGAGGGCAGACACTGCATCACTTCCCCAGAGGGGACTTGAACAGCCAACTAGGTTGGACACTCCCTTCCTTTCCTTAACCCAGCCCCTTTCATAGACTACTCTCCCACACAGTCTCCTACACCCCAGACCTCCTAGTCCTCTCCCCTGCCCAACAATCCTCCTATCTCCAACCCCCAGCGTCCTACGTAGAAGCTGGCCCACAGGAGAAATCAATATTAATAAATCAATATTGGTACTGCTAATAATAATCACTACAGTTAGTCCGGGTCAGCTCTGTACTAAGTGCTTTGCAAAGGTCACCTCTCTGAGCCTCAGGAGGCTCCCATGAGGCAATAAGAACTGTTAAAATCTCCAGTTCACAGATGGTAAAACTGAGGCTCAGAAAGGGGAGTGTTAATGGCTCAAGCTGGACTCACTCCAGCAGTCAGAGCTCCTGCCAGCCGGGGCCGCACTGTCCAGGTTCCCACTCCCCAGTGGATTTGCAAAAAGGAGCGAGTCCCCACCCTTGCAGCTGCAGATACCTCGGACTGTGAGTGTAAAGGCGGCCTCTGCCCCCCTCCTCCAAGGGGTGTGGACCAGGGTGGGAAGGAGGGGGCCTGGGTGCCTATAGATCCCCCAGCCGGCTGGTTTGAGGATGTTTCAGCAGTACAGACATCTGTCTGCGCCTGCGACTTAAGGAGAGAGGGAGCAGACAGGGTGAGACCCTCACACACCTGATCTCACGCTGACCACATAGACCCCTTGCCTGCCCTCTGCTCACAGCAAAGCCGCGCGTGCAGGCGCGTGTCTATAAGTCCCTGTCCCCACGCACCTTCCGGCCCCAACTCCCCCCACCACCAGAAACCCCGAGCGACTGGCCCTTCGGTCCAGCCACCAGGCGCAACCCTAGTCGTGGGTGTGTGGGGTGGGGGCGCTCCCTCTCTCCCCCCTCTCGAGCCCTCACTCCCGCACTCCATGCTCAAGGTCAAGGCAGCGAGCACTCGGGGCTGGGGGAAGGGTGGGGGAGGTCGCCCCGGCCCCTTTGTGCGGCGTCGCCCTCCGCCTCCTCCACCCGGCCGGGAGGAGGGGGAGGGGAGTGCCGCGCTCGCTCCCGGGGAGGGAGGGCGGGAGCGGCCGTGCGCCTGTCACTCGGAGCCCGCTGTCACCGCCTGGGAAAGGGGGTGGGGAGCGCTGGGACCCGGGAGTTCAGGATCCCGAAGAAGGAGCAAAAGAGGTGGAGAGGGGGAAGGAGAGGTGAAGGGAGCGAGGGAGGGCAGGACCGAGGAGGGGCTACGCTCGGATCCAGGCGTCCGGTGCCCTGCCACTGGGCCCAGAAAGAAGCTAACGCTCAGAGGAGGGACAGGGACAGGGAGAAAGGGAGGGAATCCCCAAAGACTGAGGGCGCACCCAGCACCCCCTTCTCAGGCATCCGGTCCCCAAGGGGACAGGAGATGCTCCCGTTAGATGTGCATGGGCGGGGAGAGGGAGGGATGCCACGGCCCAAGCTGACCCTAGTGTCGGGGCTCCTAGGTCCTGGAGACCCGGGCAGGAAAAGGGAGAGGCAGCAAGGATTCAACAGGAGACCCCCGATATTAGCTCCCACCCGGCGGCCGTGCAGGCTGGGTCCCCCCCGGGAGAAAGCGGGGGTGGGAGGAGAAAGGTGCTTTGATGAAGGGAAGGAGGGTGCTGGAAACCCTAGAGACAGAGGTCCGGACTCAGGTGTCGGTGCTTCCAGCCCCGCCGGGGCAGGCCCCCCAGAGACACTGAGGAGGAGAGATGAAGGAGAGGGAAGCCCCTACCCCCACTCTGGGTGGGGAACCGGCCTCCGCCACCCC